CTGCCCCTGGGTGGGTCCGGGATGGGCGTGAGGTTCTGGGGGTGCTCCGTCTCTGGGCGGGGGCCCGGGCCGGGCCTCGGGGGCTCGGGTCCTGGTTGGTGTGTTGCCGGGGTTGTGGGCGGGTGGGTGCATGGGGGCCCGGCCCTGGAGCAGGGTGCCGCCGGTGCATCGAGCCGCCTGGGGGGCTCTTCAACTGGTGGGGGGATGGTCACATCTGGCAGGAGCTTTCTTCTCTCAGGAACTCTCTGCAGGAGGGGAGATACAGGAGAGGTGGAGGAAGATCTCAGCCTGGGCGTTTACCGTCTTATGTAGTCTGGAAGATGTGTGGTTGGTGGGGTGGGTGCAGTTTTCTCTGTGGTGGGGTTGGGTGGACTGTCCAGGGCTCTGTGGAGCCGGGGGGCGCTACTGCACTGGGCCCCGGTCTGATGGGCCTGGGCCCCCCTTCCCTGGCGGGTCGCGGAGGGTGGGAGTGCCTACTGGGGTCAGCGGGGGAGCTGGCCCCAGGGAGGGGTTACCTGCCCCTCCCTTCCTTCCCTCCCCATCTCCAGCTGCCTCCCTCTTCCCGCTCCTCCACAACCACCCACACATGCAGGGCCTTGGAGTGGGGGTATGTCACCAGGGTGCAGAGGGGGCTACCCCCCCCCTGTCCCCTTCTGGCTGCCTCTGCCTCAATTTTATCCCACAACTTAGACATTCACATTATTCACACTCTCATTACACATACATATAGGATCTTGGGGGTGGGCACAATCACGGAGTCCAAATCACCATCAGGGTGTATACCTCACCCCTGACGTCGTTGCCCACCTCTCAATTTTAAATACACTTAGTCATTGAGGGCTAGCAGGAGGGACCATGCGCTTACCTGCTGCTCCTTGGCAGGTAGCTCCATGCCCTCCTGGGTTTTAATTGCACCTTAGAACACATATGCATCAACACTACAATGAGCGGGTGGAGGGAGGTTTGGAGTCTTCTCCCACCCCCATTCTCTGCGGCCTGCTGGAGCGGGGGGGCTAGTAGGAGGAGTTGGCCGTCCGACTGCGGTCTGGGGTGTGGGGCCTCCCTGCTGCTGCGGAGTCGGGGTGGTCTGCCTCTCCCCACCGCAGGGAAAAGGGTAACACCACCTGGGTCTGGGTGCAATTCCCCCCTCCAGGGGCAAGGGTACCTAGACCCGGTTTGTAGAGTACGCTTGGGGAGTGTGATTGTGTGTACAGCGTCTCTTTATGTCTGTCTCCACGTTGGTTGAGTGTGGAGTGAGTGCATATGAGAGCATGAGGGTGGGAATGGATGTTTGTGTCTGTGTGTGCCTGTATGTCTGTGTCTATATGTCAGGTTGGGTATCAGACGCCACCTCTCTGGGGACACCTCAGGCCCTCCAAGGTTTGGAGGCCTATCTCCACCCACCACCACTTCCCCTGCCGGTGGCGGACTCCCTCAGGTGTCGGTGTGTTGGTGGTTCTTTGTGTCTGGGGGTGGGCGTCCGGGTACACACCGGCTCACTCCTTGGCGGCCGCTTGTCGGGGCCTGGGGCCTGGGGCTCGCTCGGGCCCCTTTGGAGGTGGGGTGCCCCCGGCCTCTCGGCCTAGGGCTCGGTCACTCAGGCGCAGCTGGGGGCCGGCGGAGCTCACGGGCGCGTCACTGCAACCCCCCCTGGCTTCTGCTCCGCGGCTGCTGAGTGAGCCCTCATCTGGGACTCTCCTCAGCTCTTACTGGAACAGTGGCGCGGCTGCCCCTCTGTTGGTCTTCCATGGTCTCTTGTGTTCTGGGGGCCTCTGGATGTCTGGAGTTTTGATCTCCTCCATACCCGCTTCACACCCTGGAGGATGGGGCTGTGGCCCCCCACACTCCCTAGCAGATCATTACATGGAGAAACCTTTGGAATGCAAGCATGCTGATCCACACAGGTATGCACACATGGGTATTCACAGACGCGGACTAAAGCTTTCTTGGCTGCTGCCTCAAAGCACACTGTGCGCTGTCTATCTTGCGTGCTGCACAATATCGTTTATTATTTAGTAAATATTGATATCTATGACTAGCTAGTTTATTGTGATGGTGCTTTGTTTTCTCTATTATTATGTTGCTCTTTGTTGTTTGCTGTCTCCTCTGTTTGTTTGTTTGTTTGTTTGTTTGTTTTTTCTCCATACAGGTGACCCAGGAGTTTTTTTTTTTTTTTTTTGTCTCTCTTCCCCCCCTTCTCACCGTCTCTTCTCCCCTTGGGTTTTCTTTCTTTCTCTCCCCCTCTCTCTCTCATTCATTCCCCCTGTCCTATTTATTAAAAAAAAAAAAAAAAAAAAAAAAAAAAAAAAAAAAAGAGAATAGAATTCAGTAAAAATGTACCCAATGAGACGTTTGCCATTTGCCATGTAAAAAAAAAAAAAAAAAAAAAAAAAAAAAAAAAAAAAGGATGCTTTCTGAGAATCATTTCTGTACAAACTCAAAATCCAATTTACAAAAATCTATTTTAAGTTAAGCCAACATTTAGAACTTCCATTTGTTATGAGATAGAGTAGGGTGTGTGTTTCAGTGTGCGATTTTTCACAAGCAATGGGGCAGTGTTTGTGCAGTCTGAGCCATCATAGTTCATTTTGCGCAGTGGAGGGCTTTGCCTGCTTCAAAGGTCCAGAATGATTTTCATTATGGAAACCTAAAGGAAGCGAGGGAGAAATGCAAGTGTTGAAGAGATGTAGCTACCAACTTACAAATCCTTGGCTCCAGAGCTTCAGTCTTAAGAGACATCATTACTTATGACTTGTGCATATCTGTAAAACTGCATAAATGTTCACCAAACTAATTTTTTAGGGGCTTTTAAAATGTAAAAGTACCTTTCCCTAAGCAATTTATTTTCTGCTTTTTTGTTACGTGCACAACGATACACCGCATACTGTTTAAGGGGGGGGGGGGACTGCTGCTTCGTGTGATGCCACCACACTCAATTAAATTATTATCTGCTCTTAAGTGTTAGACGGCTTATTATATTTCATCTCGCCAGCTGTTTTCCTATTATATTATTTGCTTGTTCCTATATATAACACTACAAAGTTGGTGCCATGAAAGTAAATTGTTTTGTGTATGGAGGTACAACATTTACACATCATGCCACTTGATGTAAAGACTTGCATACAGGATACCTTTGTGTTTCTGTCCTTTTAACACAAGCTTCTCCGTCCTGATTGTTGCCTCTGACAGGATTTTGTAAGGAATCTTTAGCTCCTCCATGATTACAGATAGGAATTTATGTTCAGATCATGGGAAAATGGACAAATTATGTAAGGAATTATACATTAGTATAATAAAAACTAGACCTATAGGTTTCTTAAACGCTTTGTTTAGTTTGGCAAGACCCACATGTTGCTGTCATATTGCTAGCCCAGTATTCATGGGACAGTTAAACAATGAGAAACTCTGATTTATATTACAATACATTTAACAAGGGGTAACAAAGTCATATAAAACTCTGTTATTGAGGTAATCTTATAAGACTTGAGAATCTCCTTCTGTATAAGATTAAAAATAGTCCGAGTATACTTACTAACAATTTAGATTGACTTTGTAGAGATTAATCAAAGACATCTGGGCAATTTAGAGCATTTAAACAACCAAAATGAGAAGTGCAGGCCAATCATCGTGACCTACACAGAGGGTTTCTTGGGAAAATGGGTGGGGATTACTTTTGCTGTGTTACTCTGACAGAAAGTACTATCCCGCATTACAGTGAGAGTTTGATGGAGGATTCTAATGCAGTGCAAAGGGATTAAACTGCTATGATTAATCCAGAATCCCTCAGGAAATTAAACAGATAAGTAGTGGGTTATAAGAATGCAGCTTACTTGAAAGGAAATCCATTTTCTATGGCCTTGCACATAAACCCTGGTATTACTAGATTTACAGCTCCTGTATGTACTTGCTCAAAAAATAAATAAATAAATAAAACAGAGGCGTAATGGCGAAATTAAAACTTCTTTCCCTTTTACAATACCCATAATTTGTTTTGCACCATTTACAATTCTCATGCCCTTATGGCTTGTGTTTTCAATTAGTACCCCCTAATTCAATTTATACCCATTCTACCTCTAAAGTGAGTTATAATAGGAATTTCACTCAAGATGGTTTATTATTTCACTAACACTTTGATTGGCTGTCAAAACCTTTCATTGCTCCTATTGTAATAATAAGTGTTGTACTATTATTAGCTTTTTAAAAGGTTCGTGTCAGTGGGTGAAAAGAAAACTTTAGTGGGTGAAGAATGAATGGCTGACAGCATTGTGAAATATACATACCACGGACAATGCATGAATGTCTCGCGTCTAATATGAATGCTTAACATGCTACAATTGTTCACATGACCAGTGAATTATCAAATGTTTTGTATTTTTAAAAGGTAGAGTGGACATGCTCAGAATAATGGATGCAATAATAAGGCTCATCGTTTATCCTCCAGCCTAGAAAGCAATTCATTTGTTAAGTTAGCAACATTTTCTTGTACTTTCCAAACAAACCTATTGAGAGCCAGCAAACAGGGCTCGTAATGAAGATGTCACAATGAATGGACATTATGCTTAATTAGATTCTTAGCTTGCAGCATGTTCTACATTTGCTTAATTTGCTAAATAACAGTCCAGCCTCTCCTCTCAGCAGCACTGCGGACAGTACCTCTTTCTTTTATCCTCTCTCCAGTCTGTCTTTACTGTCTATAAAAGTATATCCCTTAAGACACTTAAACTTCTCTTCCTTTTTTGCCCTGTCTTGTCTAACTTTCTAAAAATAATACAGTTATTAAAACAATATGATGACTCCTAATGGGGTTCAGATATGCACGTTCCAGTTGTTGAGAAACAGTATCCTGATCTGCAGCTGCTGAGGTCCTGTGTCAGCAAGAACTCTTGGAGCAGCTGTAGGAGCGAGATCGTTGTTGAAATGACAAGTGTTCATAAAGCTATTCACTAATGTGTGAACGAGAGACCTTTCACTAACAGGTCCCTGTGTTGTTCCTGTTGCAGGGGAACACAGGGGAGGCTGGGCCTACAGGAAACGGAGGACCCAAGGTAGGTCACTCGCTGAATGACTTGCAAAGCTAACACTCCTCAGTGTTGCTTTGCCCTCACACTTGTGACTAAGGCTTTGAGGAACGCGGGCTCTACGTTTTTTTTTTTTTAAAGATATGTTTTAGTTACAAATTGAGTTAGTGTTGCTGTATGGTATACAGATGCTTAAATAGCAGATGGCTCTTTTGATTAAGTGATTTATGGAATCTGTCAGTGCCCCTCTCTGAGATTATTTTCTAACATTATTGGGTTGATTTACTGGCCTGCTTGTGGTGACCTCATCAGAGCAACACAGAAAACAAAGCAATATCAAAATCGAATGAAATATAAAGGTGCCTGCTCAGTACGGCTACCGCTATCCAGTTCCAACCAAGTTCAGGTCCAACCAGCGGCATTTCTAGCTTGGTTGTGTGCCCCCACCGGACATAGTTGGCAGTTTTCCCGAGTGGGACGCCAGCGAGAGATCATGTCCTTGCCACTGCACTCGAAATCCCGGCTAGATGTTTGGGCTGTCTGTCCTGAGAAGATGTCTTGCATGCGTGAGCCTCAGTTGCACCTTCTTAATGAAGTCCTTCACTGTTGAGTGAAAAACAAGTGACTTGAATAACTTGATGCGCATTTGTGAAAACATGTAATTATGTACAGCCTCCCTGAGTAAAAATTAGGACTCAAGAGTGACAAGCAATTCACAGGAAACTTCAGAGGGCAAGAAAAATGCAGATATCTTTCATATGACATATCAGATTGACGCAGCACTTGTTTTGTTCTTTACTAGTCCAGTCTCGTTCCTGATAGTGTTGAGAAAATTACCGTATTTGCAATTTATTTCACTGCAGTTGCTATTTATTCCCTTGCATATTGCGTTGTGTGATATTGTCATCAGTTAGGTTGTTGACTATCAAATGTGGCATCTCAGATGCATGTGTTAATCTCCTCTGCTTTGGGAGGCCAGCCAACTACTTACAGTAATGCTGGTACAAGGGTGTTGTCTCTATATCTTACACTGAGAATACCTTGCAGTATATCATGGAGTGGAAAGAGGGGGTGTGGGATTTTGATTCTATTCTCAGAAAAACACAGCTAATGCATAACAAGACAAGAAAAACACACATATATCCACCAGATACTACATTGAATTTAGGGATCGATTTTACTGAAGATCGTTGTGGAAGCTGTTTATGCATCGTCAGTAAACAGGATTATTCCTGAATGTGGAATATGGCTTAATCCTGGATCTATATCCGTTAAGCTCACTGTGGGACGACTTATTTGCTCGGGAACCTTGATTTGTGAAATAAGGTATAGCACTTAATGGCACGGCTCTCTCCACTTGTACAGGAGCCAGCAAAAGCAATTTTGTTACACAACAGTGCACAAGAAAAGCACCAGCCGTAGCAGTAGTATTGATAAAGATGCTAATGCACAGTGCCATGTATTGAAGTGTTTTGTAGCTTTGCTCAGTTTTGCATCAATAAGGTTTCTTCCTGACCCAGACATATTTTACTGAAACCTGTGTGTGTGGACTATTGTTATACTCGCCTTTCATCCATCTGTGGGCATCCAGTATGTGCATATGCTCTATACATGCTGCGTGTTCGGAGATGTCTACAGATGGCTGTGGGCACTTTTAGCTAAGACACACAGATTTTCAGACTATTTTGGTCGTCTTAATGTGAGAACAACAATTCCTGCAGCTGTTGGCATTATAAAAGTAATGATATGGTTGCCCTTGGACACTGTAATACTGCAGTTTGCTTGAGCTTTATGGGCCAGCTGAGGTCATTAAACTGTATAGGTTACACTTTCATAAGAGGTTCCAAGACAGCTCACACATTTCTGCCACAGTTCTCCGAAATCACTGGCTGGGCAGCCTGAGAAGAATCACTGATCAGAAAGATATTTGTGGAAATAAGCCCCTAACAGCTTTTTTACTGACTACAAATAATCCCACACATGTTATAGACTTTCCTGAAGCAGAAATGCTGCAGGGAGCTTAATAGCAAATGATACTGCATGTGACTCCTGGATGTGTGGTGTGTGTGGTCTTTCTTCTCCTTAATAAATTCTTGTGTGTTTTTCTGCTGCCATCGCCAAGATCCTTAACTTAGATTCTTAGAACTTCTTTGAAGTTCAGTATTTAACTTTATTCCTTTTTTTTGCCTGTTTGTATTCATGTGAGTGTATTAACATCCACACAATAACTCCAGAGCAGCACATGATAAATATCATACACCACCCAGTGCATCTGTACAGTGGTGTAATTAGTGTGGCGTCCCTTGGGGAAGGAGAGGGGTGGACCTTATACTTACATTTTTATAGGGATAAATGAAAGCACTATAACTCTTTAATGATTTAATTAAAAGTATTTGTGGACTAATGTGTTCCCTAGCTTATGCAATAAATGTCTCATCAGCCACTTATGAAACACTAAAAACTTTTAAAAGCTAACATCTTTTTTGAGCCTCCATGTGTCTCCTTAACCCTACTTTAGCACTGCTGGGTGTCAGAGTGGGAAAAAAAGATGAAAGCATAAACTTTTCAAGGGTCTTTTCTGCACCTTTTAACTTTCAGTCTTGTCATTGCAGGGGGAACTTGGATCAGAAGGGCAAAAGGGAATCGATGGAGAGAAAGTAAGTACCACTATCTTCAGCAGACATATATTCCATACCTAGCACATCAACCAGGTCTGGTTTCGTCAGGGAATCAATTCTTATAGGCTTTTCATTTTCTGTGTGATGACCTGGGGGTAGGAGCGCAGCAGAGTTTTTCTGTGTGGCTGTTTTCAGGTGCTTGTCATATCTGAAGCAGAGCAAGGAGTGCTCTAGCCGACATTGTCCTTCTGCAGTGAAATTAATTGATATGCTGCCATAGGCTTGACATACTAATGGACTAAACTCATTTCCCAAATTACTGTAAGCCCTTTCTGTGTCATTTTAGGTTACATTTTATTGCATGCTCTTAAATCTGGCTGCAGTGATTAGACTAATGTATGTAATATACACTCTGATAAGGCGCACTATTAAATGATAATTGTTTTGAATACATATCCATTCGAAAGAAACAACAACAGCACCACTTAGATCTTATTAAGCGTTTTTAGCCACAAGCAAATCTGTTTTCCTTCCTTTAAAGCATAAATTAAATGAAAGCGTGTTTTTTTTCCCTTTTTTTTCTCTCGCTTTGTTGTTTTTTGCTATACTGCTTTTGTTTGCTCACATAGCACAATCTCAGTAGATGTACTGAAAGCTGTGCAGATGGTCAGTTTAAAGTAGCTTAATAAAGGGACTTCTTTTCATCACCATCTCCCACTTGAGTCAACAAACAGCTGCCACAGAAATCAGCCTCCCTGCAGGCTGCGGACCCGTGATCTGCCATATAACAGAGAGAGAAAGTGGATAAAAAAAAAAAACGGATAAACATGAGTGTGCGCAGCCAAAAGAGTATTTACTGATTTAATCCAGTAGAATTACCTCCCTGTTTCTTGTAAGTTCTCAGACTGTCAGACACCGATGCGATGGTGCACGCTGCTCCTGATTTAAGGAGAAAAACACAGTGTTGTGTGGTTGGATGCCATACAGTAAACCTGAAAAAAAAACCATCTACTGTTTATATTATTTCCTAAGAAATTTTTAAAGAAGTGGTTCAAATAGGAAGGATTGGCTTTGACGAGATAGTCTGTTTTGTCCCTTTTGGAACTGACATCGCTATCGGCTGTTTGAAAAGTGCAGTGAGCTGCTACATTGACAGGATTGGACCAAGGGTCTGCTGAGAGGCGATCCTGCTCCCCTCTGCTCGCTCTTTCTCTGGGTGGCAGGCGTCATTGTTAGTGGTGCTCAGTCATAAACTACTCTGCCACTAGTTTGGTGTGAGGATATATGTTTTCCTAGAGAAGTGACTTGTTTTGATCTTTGTGCATCCCTAGGCGCCGGGGCTTTCTTCGGTCATGCTCAAATGGCTTTTCATGCGTGTGCTGAAGGGATTTATTATACTGTGCCCTACTTCCTTGAGTGATTTGAAACAAAGAAAAAGTTGAGAAATTGAGGTCCTATTTGTGAAGCATTGCTTCTAGCAGGCGTGTTGGTCCAGCATTTCAGATGCCCATTATAGATAATAACGTATGGATCCTGGACGTGCTTAGCCTAGCTTAGCTTGAAGACAGCTGTTCTAGCTAAATCAAAAGTGAAAAAGAAGATACGAGTCCGACCTGCTGTATCTTGTTATCTGGCAAGCTTGCCGCTAGTACATCCAAGAGGCACCTGGGGTTTGCCTTTGAGCTGAGGTCCGTAAACATGTTTTGGACCCGTCTTTGTAGAAAATCACAGAAATGACACTGACATCTATCTTTTCATCTGATGCTGGGAGAGGAAAACAAGTCTATTTTCCCAAAATGTCAGCGCGTTCCTTAGAGAACAGCAAATTTCTGGAGTGTATAGAGAACTTATTCTGCAGTGGATACAGCTTTAAATCAAGCCAAATGCCTTGAGTATTTATTTTTAATTAAGTGATAACAGTTTTATTTACTAAATTGCTTTTTTTCTGCCCCACTTTACTTAAACTTACAAATTTGTGCTAGAAAGCTAGGATCTCGATTCCTTGCACAAGAAATTTTGGGGCACTGCTGTAGCCACATCCTTTAACATACTATATCATCACCCTTGAAACGACATTTCTTCCTCCTGCACCACCAGCTGACGAGCAGTTGTTTTAAGCTGAGATTTTTACCAATTCAATCGGCGTGCTCTGAAATGGCTACTAGCTCATCATCTGTAATTATTGCAGCATAGATAACAACAGAATAAGCTTTCAAACTTGGTGCTGAAGACAGCAGTGAGTGACACTGAACCAGAATAGCAATGCTGAGTGTCATTAAAGCAAGACAATAAGCTGGGAGACTCCAATGCTCTACATGACATGCAGTCATGCGATAATTTCTTCAAATACACACAAGTTTCAGCCATTCATCAACGTCAACACAATGGATTATGTTTCCAGTATGTATCCTTCTAGAAAGAGAATAAATTATGGTACGAATCAAGCTTTCATTATTTGTTTGTCCCTTTTTTCCCACAGCTATGCTTTCTCTGTGAGTCATTTGACTTCTTGATCTAACACTTGCATTCGATTTCGAATAATATGATGGCAGGACACTGTAGACAAATAGATGGGATTTAAACTAGCTCCATGTCTCATCAGTGTGCAGCGAGCATTACAGGATTAAAAACCAGTATCCCCAGTGTCAGGTGATAGGATGAAGCTGAGCCTCATCGACTAAATAAATCTGCAATAAAGCTGGGCCGTCTTTCCAGTTAATCACTTACAGAAATTAGTGCTAAGAGACTCGAAAGTCCTAAAATCGTCATTTGTAGCGAATAAACAGCCCCTAGCAGGAGAAATAAATACTGTCCTTAGTATTGTAATGTCACTTTAAATGAATATACTGTAATTATTGTTTCTGCTTATTTAGAAGGTAAGAAGCAGGGAGCACGGCAAACACACTCCCTGCTTAATAACAACAACGCAGAAAATGTTGTCTGTTTAATGTAAATAAATTAAAAGCTGTCTATGGTGCACAAATGTATTTGATGATTTCAGTTAACCTATTTACTCTGACCACTCCTGTGACTTCATCACCTGATCTGTCCTTTTACTGCAATTAGCTCATATCCCATTTTTAAAGCTGGTGTGTTATTTAAAGCTAGAGTAGACACCCGAGAAGCCGGAATTCTGTGTATGAGCATGTGCTCCGGTATCATTTTGCAGATACACCTCCTATGGGATGGGACGTGTTACTTTGTGGGTAATTCAAGTTACATTCGTGGAGACAGGATGTTCAGCTGAAGAGTGAAGTGTCATAGGAAAAAACAAGGGACTAGTCACACCGATGAAACATGATATCCCTTGTTCTAGATGATCTGTGACAGTGTAGTCTAATATCCTCGCACTACGAGCCATTGTTTGGGTTTCCTGGGTAAATTGTATTTATTCAGAAAGTGCAGAAGCTGTCAGTGCTACAGCCCGATGCCAGTGTGATTAGTCTTATATCAGAATGTACGGGGTAGTGCATTGCTGAGCAAAGGGAAAGTCACAAAAGGCATTTCCTTCTGTAACCTCCATGGCATTTGTACACCAGCACTCAAGATATCTATGTTACTTACAGATCCTGTTCCATGGAGCTTTAAAGGCCTGTCATTCGGTGTAACAGCATTTCCCCACCATAGCATTCAGAATACTTACTATAGTTTTTAATTTAGCCTTCACTCAATAAGGCCAAACCTTGTTTGTGATGATTAAGTTGTTTACAGTAGTTAGAACTTGCAATCATTCTCCTGCTTCTTAGACAAGGGCACCGACCTGCAGCTGCTCTAGTTGGTAAAAGGTAAAAGTAAACACAATTAGACCGCATTTGTTCATCCCTACTTCTCTGGCTCTGTTTATTTGCTTGCTTTAGTTGTCTTGTGCTGGGGAGTTGCCAGATTGTCTTGTCTCCGCTACCTGAGCGAAGAGACACAGTGGTGTGTGTAATTAGCAGGCAAGTGTACACAGCTCCCCACAGTGTTCTGACCTCGTGTTGCAGGAACAACTGCCACACAGTCAGCACCAACTTATTCCCAGCCCCTTCTGCCTCCTTTATCCTCCCCTGTAAATGCAACAAAGCCCCAAGCTTGCAACAGAAGCTAACAATATATCCGGCCCCTGTCTGCATCTCGCTCTTTGTCATCGTGCACCTAAATTAAGCCTATGGGCTCACGACTGAGTCCATTAGATAGAGACAAAGCCTCTTAACCATGCTGTAGTGTAGCAGGAAGGATAATAAAAAAGAAATAAAAATGCACTTTTTTAGATGCTCTCTCTTCAGGTAGCATTTTAGCAATTTAGCAACGGTCAGCCGAGATTATTTTAAACAGCATTATTTCAGAACAATCGCTAAAGCACCGCTTCTTTAACGCCTACATTCATTGATTTGCATTTTGATTAATTGTTTGCTTTTGACTTAGTATCTTATCCATTCCTTGAAATAAATTAAGAACGGGCTTGTTCTTAGGAATCACTTTACATATTGTTGGAGATATTTCATGTAATTACTGTGTACATGAATGGCTCAAACTGCACATTGACTTATAATGAAAAAATATAGGTGTATGGATTCAAATGGTAGTATAGTGTATTTGTTTTTCCTTTTAACCACTTTTGTGCTGAATCTGATTTGACCATTTTTCTATTAACAAACGTATGTATTGTGTCTGACATTTAACTTACTCAGAGGGCATTCTGGGATAGCTTTACACCCTGACAACTGTGTAAAACTGGTAGGTTTCAAATGTACAGTGTTTGCAACAGTAACAACATCAACACCAAAAAAAAAAAAAAGATTTTGGCTGAATGGAAAAAGTGGTTCCATCTATTTTTATGAAAGAGATTATTTAAAATAGTTGATCTGAACTTCTGATATCCTAAAGGAGATAGTGGAATTAAGTGAAACCTTTTTCTATTAACTCTTAATGGTTATCAAACCAGTGTGTTACAAAAATATTAGTACTGTTTCTAAAAAATCAAAAAGTAGCTTTACTACAACATAAAAATATGATATTATATATGTAGATTTTTTTTTTTGCATTTCTTTGTATTTCGTTTTCCTGTTTTGCTCAGCAATTTTCTTGTACATTTAACTGAGATCCTCCTTATTGGCACCAAATCCAAACTTTTGAAGGCGAACCATTTCTCACTCACCATCGATAACTCCACAGTTTTCCCTTCTCCTCAGGTTAAGAGCCTTGGTGTCATCCTAGACAGTTCACTTTCCTATAAATCTCACATCAATAATCTCACCCGTTCTGCCTACTTCCATCTACGTAACATTAACAGATTGCTTCCTTCTCTTTCCACCCAGTCTACGTCCATTCTTGTCCACAGCCTTGTTACCTCCCGTATTGACTACTGCAATTCTCTTCTGCGTGGTCTCCCCCAAAAATCCCTCCATAAGCTTCAACTGGTTCAGAACTCTGCTGCTCGCATTATCACCAGAACCCCCTCCTACCAGCACATCACCCCTGTTCTTCAGGAACTTCACTGGCTCCCTGTGAAATTCCGGATAATATTCAAACTTCTTCTGCTCACCTTCAAGGCCATTCATAACCTCGCTCCTCCTTACCTTTCTGACCTGTTAACCACTACCTTCCTTCCGCCTCACCACCATGGGAAGCAGAGCTGTCAGCTGCTCTGCTCCCAGGCTGTGGAACTCTCCGCCCCCAGAAATAAGAAACATTGGTTCTCTCCCCCAGTTTAAATCCCAACTCAAAACTCATCTGTTCAAATCTGCATATTCACTGTGAATCCACTGTTTGTTAATTTTATCTTGTGCTTCTGTTTTATTGTTCTTATTCTGCCATTGTTTTACTAAGTGTTTTATCCTATTGTAAAGTGTCCTTGGGTGACTTGAAAGGCGCTCATAAATAAAATTTATTATTATTATTATTATTATTATTAAAGCACCAGGTGCTGATGCTATAGTTTGAAATCCACAAGGTCACATTATGGCTATTTAATACCAAAGCTTTAGTCAACAGGCTCAAAGTACAGTTCTGAATTGTACTTTGATTGTCTGCAGGGAAATGTAAAAACAAGAAAAAAGCTTATTAACTGGTAAATTTTTCCCCATCTTTTCATTTTTGTACATCTGTGAAAAATGCTTAACGAAAAATTTGCAAGGCTGCCAAAAACGTCATCCAAAAAAATATGAAGGCTTACTTTTTAATTGCTCTGGTTGTTCTCCAGATGATGTGTAGGCCTGCAGTGCATATCTTATAAACCTTTATAGGTCAGAACAATTGCACAGATGTGCCAAGTTTTCGATCAAGCAAATTTATATTCTAAGCCAATGTGTCTTTTACTACAGTGTATATTTTTAGTATTTGGAAGAATTAAGACATTCTAACTTTTTTCTGTAAAGCTACTTTGTTAAGTTTTTTAATTAAAATATTTACCAGAAGGAAACCTTTTTGTAGCTCGCAGATTGGCTATGGCAGTTGCAGAGCTTAGTTTGACTGTGTGAATGACTATAATTTAAAATAAGGTGGGAGAGTGACTTGTGGGCTGACTCAATTTTTGTTTGACCTGAATTTTTGACAAGAACATGTGGTGCCCCTGAAAAATAGCTCACCACTTTACAGAAGCTTATTACACTTGTATTATTCGGTTTGAATTATGGCAGTTCCCTGTCAGCTCTTTAGTAAACACATTGTTTTGTGTCTACAATTGGGGAAAAAAGTGCAGCAGAAGGCCACAGTTCCTATTAAAAGCCTTCAAATTTTCCCCTTTTATTGTAAAGAAATTCTCAAATCCTGAAAAGTTCAGAATGAATGAATCGTCTATTCATGTGAACAGCCTGACACGAATATAAGATTACAAAGAAATCCTGCTGTTTTATTAATACTGAATTAAAGAAATGCATCAGCATCACTCCCTGGTTTAATGATGTTATATATTTGAGAAATTGAAGTCAGACGACCCAAATGCAGGACTCATAGGCAGAAGCGGACCTCAAGTGGAAGGCAATTCTTTATTGCAGCTGGTGAAGTTAGAAACATAAATCTAAAACGGAGGCAAAACTGAGTTGAAAATCCCAAGAAATCTAGGAAGCTCAGCGGGGAGACAGACAGGCAACTACACAGTACGGCGTGACAAGGAAGAAGTGAAAGATACTGCTATTTATACAAGGATTACTGAGGGGACTGGAAACATCTGGGAAACAAGAAAAAGGTGACAGCAGTCAAGACAAAGACACCGGGGACAGAGTAAATCTAAACAAATGACACAAGAAACAAGTCACTATCAGGAATGCAAAACGAACAACATCATAACAGAACAAAATGCTGATAGCTAAAATGCTATACTAATACCAGAAAAATAGATTGTAAACTAGGAAAATGTTCAAAATTCTACAATTAGTGAACCCAGAACTAGCTGAGAATATAGACAAACCAATCTCAAAGAAAACCTAAATTACAAAACTTAAAACCCTGGAATTTTATTTTGTGTGGTGTGGCATGCCATGGGTAAGATCATTATGAAGCCTGTGAAACTGATGATTATTTAGACTTCTGACTGACATGCTACATCATTATATGACGTAACATGCAATCCATTGCTATCTTGTGTCAGTGTAGTGGAAAGCTTTGGATCCTTCATTTCAATTCAAAATGAAAAAGTCGAACAAATAGTCTGTGACACTGTCATAAAAGATGCCAATATATGGGTCTTATTCAATTTAAATGTACAAATGTATTGGAAATGGCAGGAAAAAGTAATATGTTTCTATAACTTTGTGAGTGAGGGTTGAGTCTGAGTCTGAAGGTTAGGAGCAATCCTCTATGGGAATGAAGAGGAGGGCGATAACATTTTGTTAGAGAGCTTGCTAATGATCTTTTAATAGTGGCTTACAGGAATGAGCAGCGTGGGATTGACAAAACAGTCTCAGTCAATCTTCAACTTCAGACAACTGAATAGAAAATTGCCCGTAGCTATAATGTCCTGCGCTCATATAGATTTAAGCTGTATGGAGGAGTGATAACAAATGGCTGATAATTAGAATGAAGCACAGCTATACTAAAATATCTTTTGTTAGCTTACTGTTTCAGAGCCATGCAAACCGCAGCTCTAACATCTACTAACAACATTTGTCAGTGAGAAACCTGTAATGATTTCTAAATCGTCTTCTTTTGATAACAAACCCAGATTTAAACCTCAAAAACAAAAATGACCTCAACAAGAAGTTGTCAAATTGCAAATATTGTGTCGTGATGTGATGTTAGATATGTGCGTAAAATTTCCCAGTAACCCAAAAACACAGAGCTGTGAAAAGCAGCAATACCTGCCTAATGGTTCCTTTTCTAAAATAGCTGTTACAGATCACAATAACAAGAAAACATGTTTATATTACAAAAGGCGTTTCATTGTAATAAGTCCTCTCATATCGACAGAATCTGCAGTTGTTTTCATCCTCGTTATCAAATGAGCCTTGCGCTCCGATGCTCTTTAATTTCTGCCACAGCTCTGGTAATATTGAAGAGGGGAATTTGCTTCTGGATTCCCTTGTGTCAGATTGCCCCAGCAAAGCGGTTAGGCTGTTGATTTAAAGAAAGAACCGAGCTCACACATGTGCAACTATGAGACAGCTGTTCTATTATTGACAGTGCATGTGGGCTGAGGGACCACATAAATTGATGCAGTCTGATAAAATCACGTCGTTGTCATTTCACTGTTGGTGCAATTTAAAGCGAGGCTTCACTGTAGCTGTCGTTATCTTACAGAAAATAACTTTCCACCACTGTTAGCAAGGCGTCTACTTTCTGAATGGTGTGGCTGAAGACAAGGCTTGCAGGGAACAGGCAATGAATTTGTCTCTGGTAGCAAGACTTAATGTGATAAGGGTAGGTAATCATCCTCTCCAGATATATAATTCACTATTAATAGCCTATCTGACTCTAAATTTAACCATGACAAATTATTGTATTTCTGAGTCATTTTACAGCCCGCTCACGCTCCCCATCTTCCCTGCTCCCCCCTAACCTATTTCAAAGAGTTGGTGCTACTGGCCCAAATGTGTCACACCTAACAAGGCTCGCTGCAAATTTAGCCTGTCAATATGTGTCAAGCCTCATTCATCAGCTATCACTCTTCATCTGAGCCGTCCTCGTACTTTCACAGTTCACCACCGAAAGGTTTGACTTTGCCCCGAGCTTGCATTGGTTCAATCCCACCCCCAGGTTCTTTGCTTTGAGGTTTAAAAGCAATGACAGTCACTGTCCTTGCTAAATGTAAGTGCAACAAGGGAACACAGAGGGAAGGAGCTGGGGGGTAGAGACAGTGTAACCAGCTAATCATGAGCGTCTCCCCATAATTCAGCTACATTGAGTGTCCTGTGACTGACATCACCTGCTCTTTTCTCATTGACCAGTTGTGACAGGCATGAGAATCTCACATCTGCATGGTAGATTTGTTTTCTGAGTGTCAACATACTGACATACAGTAACACATCCGGGGTATTTTTCATTACTTTTTTTTAAAAAATTCCATAATTCTCATTAAAAGGAAAAATGAAGAAAAGATGTGTTGTATATTTTTTGTCCCCAGGGTTTGAAAGGTGACTCAGGGCCAGTTGGTCCAGTTGGTCCCAAAGGAACCAAAGTGAGTGAGTCTGCTGTACATGCTGGGCTGGAAAACATTAGAACAATAATCTTTTTCGTAGTTTGCTTTTCTGTCATCAGGGAATCGGCTTTACTTTCATGAGCTGCAGTCTCGATAATGTGGCTGTCCATCTGTTTGAAGTGCTGCTGTGAATTGCTACTCCAAACATGGCAAACTAAAGGATATTGTTATGGCTTTCATAACTTAGCAAGACCTTATTGATGGCCGTATAGAGTAGCTTTTATCCTGGCAGAGGGAAAATGGTCCACTCTCTCTATTTGTGGAGTATTTATATATTCAAAGTGATATATTTTTGTAATGGGCATGCCCAACAAATCCCTTTATCTTTCCCTTTCTAAACAGGTCTTTTCTGATACTGAAGCTTAGAGATGAAATGGGAAATGCATACCATTGCCTGCAGTTTGCTGGACTACTCATAGGAATAGTATTTGACATTAGGTTTTTAATTCTAGGAATACAATAGTTGCATAGGTATGCCCTGCACAGGTGGCTGTAGCTGGTTCCATAAGTCTGGGGTTTAAGACAAGAGTTTGATGCAAAACCTTGTTCTCATCAGTGACATGAATTAGATTAACTCTTGTAGTGATGTGGAAAATATTGGTCTTTTTAAACTTTTATTTTCATGCCACAGTGGGATTATTTCCCATATATGAGTTGGAATGTTTTTCCTATAATTAGTTGCCATATCTCTTGCTCTTTTATTTTTCTTCCCTTATTAGGGCTTTTTCCCCCTTTTTTCTCTCTCTCTTTGCTGTTGTTGTTGTTGCCTTTTGGTAGAACTCACCGCATAATTGTAGGTGCAATGCACTGTCTGCCAGCCTTGAAGTTATAATGAGGTCTGTGTGTTTCTGTGAAGACAGAGAATCACAGCGTATTTTATCCTGTTTTCCGGATGGGAGGGTGAGAGAGGGGGTGGAGAGAGCGTTTGTTTGTATGGAAGCTGACAGAGAGAGGCAGATTTGGAAGCATAAAGTAATGAGTCCCCTGAATATCCCATAGCAGGCATATTTTAGCTGTGACATTCATTTAGACAACAAAATGGATATGAACTACAAACACCTTCTTCTTCTTCTTTTTTTTCCCCTTTCATGCACATCTGATAAAAGAATATTGGCAGCAGTAAAGTCATCTATTTCTCAGCTCAGTGCTTTATAAATGTTGGGACTGCTGTTAAGAGGGGGTAGGATGGCAGTAATAGTGAACAGTGATCTACAAGTTTTATCTTAAAAGACAAAAAAAACAAGACAGTCAGCAAAAAGGATGTGAGCTCATTGCTTACATTACATTATGTTGGCATCAAAAGGCGTTTTCTCCTTCCTTATATGACTTTTTGTGACCGCCTGTATGTAACAGTCAGCGAACAGTGTTATCATGCCTCCCCCTTGTTAATGCTGCAAAGCTCTCTCATGATGTAGTGTGCCTGCATTTGTTTTAAAGCCTGTCACATTTAATGGCCCACCTGCCAATGTGAAAGTCATCAGACATGCTTCATGTAAGGACATAGTGTAAATACCAGGTAATAGCCTTCTACCGTACATAGTGCTTATATTTGAATATACCTGCTATGAAATGTCATCTTACATGAGCTGACCTTCAGGGTTTTTTCTCACAAACATGATAGATGGCCTTTAGGTTTAATGATTATCAGTCAATAAAAGATTTTATAAATTTAGCTGAGTATGATAAAGAGTTAATGCTGCGCATTTTATTTATTTATTTATTTATTTATTTATTTATTTATTTATTTATTTTTAATTATTGTCTTCTCTTACAGGGTGATACGGGTCTGCCTGGAACTCCAGGGCTGCCTGTAAGTTCACACTTCTTCATTTACATCTCATTATGCCATCTGTGTATGTGTGTGTGTGTGTTCAAATAAAGTGGTGATGTTAAAATGTACTTATGAGGGTATGAAATGAGATGCATGAAATGGCAAAACTGAGCTTTGTAAATACCACAGCCTTTTGGCAGGCTCTACACATAGTGTTAAAACATCTGGCCCACAGAGATGGAAAGTGGGGCACTCCGGTGAACGCTCTCTGTGTCACATTACCGTCGCCTGGGAATGGGTCAAACGAGGAGCAGATAGATAGGGCTCAGTGGGCGGTTTCACTGGAGCCAAAAAGGATAGGCATGAGCAGCCAGGCAGAGAAGAATGGAGCTCCAAGCCTCGGGCTGGGTGTGGAGTTTGACAGGTAGTCACTGGCTGTATCCTACACGGGTGAGACAAGCACTTACTGGAATGGTATCTGTCCCTGCAGACTTTGTGCATTTACAGACACCCGTGAGAAATGACACCGGGATTTACGTCTTGTATATTTCTCTTGTTTGGCAATATCTAGCAGAAAGAAAACATAAAATCAGACACAAGTTCCACTTCACAACCAAACAGAAGCCGTAGCAGACCACATATACATTAAGTGTATTTACTTGTCTAGTCACCTACAGTACGAACAAGTAGCCCCATAATTTGTTGGACAATAACACAGTTTTTGTAGTTTTGCCTCTGCACACCACCACAGTAGATTTTAAATCAGACAGTCACGATGTGATTAGAAACCTTGAACATCACCAAATGCCATATTTCTTCCACTGAGAAGCTCCAGTAGGCCTTTACTGCCTTCAGTTTTGTCTTCAGTATCCGAAAAGCATGATCTATATGGAGCTCAGACTTGGCCAGTGAAGAATATCCAGTGTCTTTGCCTTGAGAAACTCTTGGGTTGCTTTTGCAGTGTGGATCATTACACATTTGCACTGTGAAGTTCTGCTTGATCAGGATTTTTTTTCAATGTTTGGCTGAATCTGAGCAGAGAGTATATCCCCGTACACTTCACAGTTTATCCCGCTACATCTATCAGCAGTCACATCATCTTTAAACACTAGTGATCCGGTTCCACTGGCAGTCATGCAGCACATGCCCATGCCATAACAGTGTCTCCATCAATCTTGACAGAGTGTTTCTCTCCTTCTTCATAGCTTTTTTCTTTCCATTATTCTGGATCCATAAATCCAAATATTTGTTTATTTTTGGTAGAACTGTGCACACTTTTGTAGATTTTTTCTAGCAAAGTCTAATCTGATATTCCCATTCTTGATAGCAACATTGCTATCAAGAACAACAGGGGACAAAACAAGTGGTTTTGTCCCCTGTTGTAGACTTGAGAGGGTTAGTGGGATTTGGCAGATTGGATGTGGTGGTGCAAGACAGGGAAAAGAATCACTTAGAAATCAGTCCCATAATAATTTTTCTTGTCCAAGCTCACCTGTGCTGGTACTCCGATATTCACTCAATACAGATTCACTCAGTATTCAGTGAGTTAAACTAATCAGCTTGAGTAACACAAAGACCTGCTTCAATTTGTTTTGCAAGCAATTTCACAAAAACATAATTCTGCAGCATGTCACATTGGGATTGAATATCTGATTTAAGAACTGAAGTGAATGCAGACGTTACATGCAAGATTTAAATTTCCAGTTCATAAAATTCAACTTGCTGAGCAGTGCTTACCTTTGAGAATAATCTCTCATCTTCGCCTCATCTTTCAGTCTCCGAGTGCCACGCATGAACTTTCTCTCCCTAAGACATACAGGAGCTGTACATTTTTCCTAGCAGACACGTTTTGTGACAAACTGTGCAGATGCAGTGTGTTTGCTTTGTGATATTTGTTGAGCTCTTGCCTACCACTTACAGAAAAATGTTAATGAGTTTATGCTGGCTCCTCTTGTGTAACACTAGATAGATGATGAGTACTGCAATTGAAACTTGATTTACATCTGCACCATGAATCATCTCTGGGATGTCATTATTTTCTTATTACTGAGCATATTACTGAGTATCTCCACACCTTCGCCGAAAGCAAGGCAAGGCTGCTGCACACAAAAAAATTAACTGATTTTAAGGGTAATATGCATTAACCTGCCGATCAAATTTAATTGCTCATTAACCGAAGGTATTGGATTGCCATTCCAAATTGCTCCGGCCCTCTCTGACCCCCTGTCCTACCGCCTTGAGGTTGTTTTTAACTTGGCTAGATGCTGTGAAGTTTTTTTCCTTAACCAAGTAAACATTCTGCAATTGTGCGCTTTAGTTGTCTTCTGTAGTCTTTCAGGTCTTTTCTTGTTGGTGAGCTGGTCAGTGCATTCAGTCTTCTTAACAATGCACCAGACTGTTGATTTGGCCGCCCTTAAAGTTTTTGCTGGATTGCTTATAGGTTTATTTTGGGGTTTTTTTCCTGCTAATGGTGAAAGTTCTGCTTTGTCATGGGAGCAAAAATAGCTTTAATTCCTAAACAGTTTAAAAAAAAACCCAAAAACCCTTGAATTAAGGCTGAAAGTCTGTCCCTCAATCACATACTGCTTATTTGATTTCAAATGCACTGCAGAGGTGTGCAGAGGCATGTCTACAACAAGAAAAAAATAATGCGTCTTTGTCCAAAAACTTACAGATCTAACTGCATTGTGACTGTGTGGGCACAGTGTGTAGGCTCAATTCGTTATTGCAAGGGAGTTGATTGCTGATACAGAGTAAAAGTATACTGCGGGTGGTTAGCTAATTATGTGCATATCATGAGGGGATCAGCCTGCCAGTTTTAATCAGCACTGGTCTGTTACAAAAACTGTCCCACTGCTTCTGGCCTGCCCCTTTTATGTCACCAAAGTGCTTACAATGCCCACAGAACACTGCCACCATTCATTAGCTATTCTCTAATGCTAATTTCCCATTTGTAAGGACAAGCAATGCAACAGTCTTTCTCCGACAGGCAAACAGGATTTTAGCAAACTTTCTAACATCATGCCAGTAAATTGGTCCACGAGCGTGAGCAGAAAACGTTGGGAGGAATTTTTTAGTGCAGACGTGCTGCCAGTGGATTTGCATTGTACTGCTTGTTAGCCATTGTCAAGATTCTGTGCTAACAATCCCAAGCAAAGACCACTGTACCATTGTACATGAATAATTGATTTATTAGCAAAACAACTGCAGGGGACTGAGTCATGTTTTGTTGAGAGTGTCACAGGTCAGAGCTGGCTTTCTTTTTATGGACACAGCTGCAAAAGTCTGAGAGTTGTCAGCCTCCTCGTTAGCTTTTTTTTCCCTTTTGTTACTTTGGATGAGGCGTCTGACTGACTTGAAAGACGTGCGTCATGAATGTCCATCTGTGCAGCTGTCTCTGTGAAGAAAATCAGCAGTCTTTGACTTGTGGATGCCAATTGAAAGACGACACCAATTATTTGGGTTGTATTTGAAAGCGGAGATGTGGTGCATGGCGTTGTTTTGGTTCTGAGACGACTCCATTTGGCCTTTCTTGACAGTGAACAGCAGGGTGTCAGGAGAGTTGTAGCAGTCATGCCCTCATTTCTCTTCAGGTTATTCTGGTCAAGGATAATTATGTCATGAACAATTGTGTGGCATGTATTTTTATCCCCTAATGTGTGAATCATGTTGCATTTTCAAACTGACTGAAGTGCTTTTTTTTTAAATACAATTTATTTTAATCACAGGCTGAGAAAGAATGTCTGAAAGGAGATCAGGTACATTGACTTTACTTAATTGTATTTTCTCTGAGGCATCCTGTACTATTGTGTTTTTACTTGCATTTTTTTGTAAGCATAAATGTCACAATTTGCTGTTTTCAGGGTCTCCAAGGTGAAAAAGGAGAGAAGGTAACAAATATTGTTCTTGAATTTGCTGCTGCAGAAGGTGCACATACCATGTTTTCAGTAAAGTACAGCTATTTGGTTTAGCAGCCAATTACCGAAGCACCATATGCATGCCCTTGCACAAGACATTGCTCAGCAGATACCTTGATTAACTTGCTAATAGTTTCTTATCAAGATACTTTGTAGAGTAATGGAATGAATATCTGATCAAGTGAGGCTGCAAATTACCCGTTCAAGAGACACTACTCATGTAAAAGCCATTCAGAAGTGAGAATGAAAGCTACAGCACTATCTAGTGTCTTCTATCCTTCATGAAGTTCTAACTAAGCTAATGCTGTATTTCCTATCACTGTAAATAAACCCACTAACCCTCTATAAACCCACTAGCAATCCACTGGTCTGTTGAGAACAGACCAGTTCTAGTACCGTTCTGCTTTGCCAATTGTAGTAGCCTTTTCACCATGATAGATGTCTTTTCCCTAGGGATCGGCTGGAGTGCCTGGTCATCCAGGGGAACCGGGGAAAGAGGGCAAAAGGGTGAGTAAACAGAGACAGATCGCCAGTTGTGTGGCCTGGCTTGTGGTTGTACTCACGCAGAGGACCTGGCCTGGGGAGAGGCCAGGCAGCAGCTGAACGGCTGTTGTTGTTTTAGAGGAGGCAAAGATGATCTGTGGCAAGGGGATTGCAATGGGCCTGCAAAAGGAGATGGGTTGGTGTGTGCTAGCTGTATGACAATTAATGAATGGGCTCACTGGTCAAGGGGTCACACACACACACATACACACTCATAATATCACTGACAGAACACATGGTTCAGTCCCATTGGGTGACAGTATTTGGTTTCTTAAAAAAGCCAGCTTGATTTGAGACAGACACAGCATCCATTACTGAATCAACTGAAATGTTATATATTTATTTGTCAGCTCTTATTCTGTGGTTAGAAATATAAGTGTCAGGATTTTGCTGGCAAAAATGTGCACTTAATACAATTTTTATTCAAATACCTTTTTTTTTTCAAAGCCTTTTTAACACAAAATTTCAGTCTCCGTGGGAGCATATGGTGATTTCCAGTTGATTATACTTTAATTGTTTTGGAGCATTGTTAATTCATGCATGAAGTTCTGATATTAATAATAGATAAACATAAAACACTGTGGTTAGAAGCTTGAACAAGAGCAAGAATGTTATTTTTCCTTGCCGTCACAGCTGAAAGGCAGCTCTCGCGCACAGGTGGAGAGAATGTCCTTCTGCGTGTGCCGTTATTGACTCGCCTGTGATAAAAAAATAGCTGCTTCATGCCACTCGGTGTTGGTGTTTGTTTTACAGAGAATGGTCATAAAACAGCAGGAAAACATTTGGCTCACTGCAGCAAAACATAAAATATATAGGAGGTTCAGCTGTAGAGCACTCATAAGTAGGTCAGGGAAATGTTCTTTTCAGATTAAGGCGAACCCAAGATGATGCACAATACTCGTGACATCTAGAGACGAGCATCTCAAAAATTCCACCCTTCTGTGTGTTAATGCATTCCGACTCAAAACTTCTTCCAATACCATTATAAATTTATGACCTCTCATCGACCATGTTATTTCTCAATGGCTCATTTCCCATAATGCATAAAGTATCCGACTCTATTGTGAGGGAGAGAAGTCACGGTCAACGAAAGCGATCTCAGTGAGTGCAGATGTTTTTTTTGTTGTTGTTGCTGTTTTTTATGCTTTTGCTTCCTCGGCCTCATTAGTCATTGTGTTATTTTATACCTAGACTGACTTAAGTAGTGGCTCAGCGTCAAAGGGACCGAGCATCAGAGACATCAATTATGGTGTGTGCTTTTCTTCTGGAATACAGTTTCATTCAATCATAATTGGGTTAGAAGAAAAAGGGGTGTCTCTCTCCGTGTTTGATGTTGTGGCTTCTTCGCTTCCTATATCCCTATCTTCTATATCCCCATAATATTTTTTTGCACTTGCTATTTCTTTGAAGATTTTACAGGTAAAACTGCCATAGGGCTTTAAACAGGCGATCACAGACTCTCTGGTGTTGTTGTTGCTGAAGATACCGTCCTGAACTACTGTCTTTGATGGCTGGCTGACTTCATGAGAACTGTTAACACGCTAAGGTTTCTGCCTATTCTTAGCTTGAGGAGTCACACGGAATCCAAGTTGTTGACCAACTTGTGCTTCTGCAGTTTGACGTTCCTATTTTAGGAAGCTGGGCATGGATCATCATCAGGGGCCAGCTAGTGGCCTACTGATACAGCCGGAGACTCTCGTCTAATTAGCAACTCTCATCCACGCAGGCAACTTTTGGTTTTGTGAGAGCCGTAGCTGCTGTACGACTTATGCAGAATATCGTGATGTAGACTGACCGCCCCGCAACCTTCATAGAATAGCCAGGAGTGGAAAGCTTTCACAAAGCCTTAGATTCAAGCCAGACCATCTCTCAAACTGTCTGCTTCAATTTGTTGTTGAAAAAAAATACAACCACTCTAAGCCATCTAGCTTTACTTGAAGGAGATGTGGAGGGCATTGTGGTGGTGGAGAAGAGGAAGGATGCCGTTTGCGTTGCTCCTTCTCCAAAGCTTAAAGCAACATATGCAAGAACTGACATCAGTCACCCAGACCCCCGTGATCCTAACTCTTTATTTCACCTTATTAACATGATAGAGAGCTATTTAAGTTTGTCAGGATGGAGGTATGAGCCAGTCCAACCATGTCTAGGAGTTTATGGGAATGTAGTGCCCCTACATTAGACATCACCATTAATGGTAATGTGAATGACTTGGTTCTATCTATTATGAATGGAATTGACACAGAATAGCAGGCAAAGAGTAGGACTTTGGGATTCAGTGGTACATTACAGCCGATCAAAACGAAGATAGGGAGCACCTGTAAAAGGGATATGTCCCCCCGCTGACTATTGCCTGCTAAAATATTCATCACACTCTGTAATGATGTGCTAAGCGCTGTGTTGTCACTATAGGCTGGCTCTGCCCTACAGAAGTTGAGGAGGTGAAAGACATGCATGCAGAAAGGAACCAGAGGGGGAACATCTTTGTGTGCAGGTCGGAGATAAGTCTGCTTCACGTGACTGTATAATAAAGTTTTAAATGCATAAAACAGTGATGATTTTAAATTAGGAAGAATTGTAAAAGTAACAAACGGCATCATTTCATCTGCTCAAAATAGATCTGAAAACCCACATTTGGTCAGTGCACATTTATCCTTAACATCAACACATATAGAAGCACCAGAGTGAGCACCGCTCATTCATGTTGTGCCAAGACTTCCCAGCATGCCCTGCTTCTGTAGTTGGCTCAGGGTTGTTAGTTGGTTCAGAGCTGACATGGGTCTCTGGGTAACTCAGTAGGTTCCTGTGGATTAATAAGTAATCACCTTAAGAAATCCCCCTGTGCAAGGTGGGTCTTGGAGGTTTAATCCATGCCTAACACTACATTAAGCCTTATTAGCAGTATAAATGTACCTGTATATAGAAATACATTTAAATCCTGCATGAAGTCACTGACAAATGTCATGTTGATTCTTGGGAAAAATACAGCACAGTCATATGTTCTGATTAAATGTTTGGGAACTACTGGTAAACACTGTAAAACATTGAATTTCCCTTATTGACAGACAACACATTATTTCCTTTTATGCATTTTGCAGAACGTAAATACTGCAAATACAGAGTATTTGAAATCCTCCTGTAATAAGCTGAGCGCTTGTACTGTGTCAAGGTTTCCTAGTCTCCGGCTTTAGAAAATGCACACATCTGACAGATGTGCTGCACAGTGTTTGTTCTTATTAGACATAGCTATACCAGTGCAGAGATGATGAAACTCCAGCAAGCCCTAGAGGAAGGAGAGCATTGCAACTGCTGTGTCTACAGATGTGTTCTCTTCAAATGAATTATGCACTCAAGATCCTCTTACTCATTTATTCATTTGTTTGTATATTCAAATCTAGTTAGCTGGTTATTTATGCGCTGCTCTTATTTCGGCAGTGAACTACCTGACGCAGTTACTAAGTATATGGATAACTAGCTGGCGGGCTAGCAGCTCAGTAAGAAACATGTAGGCGTCTTTTATTGTGCATGAGGTAAGACGATATGTGTAGTGTGCTGCTAAGCTCAGCTGACTGCCTTTCAGTTATTGATTATTTTTGTTTCTATTTTTGCAAAAATAGTGTTTGTCATGTGCCCGTGTACCTCAGCTGGAAATGTGGATGGACGACACTGTGCCACAGAAGATACCTGCCACATATGTCAGGGAGATAAGAGAGGACAAAATGTTCAAATGAAGAAAACACCTAGATGTCTTTGCTGGGCAGGCAACGCAAGATGATCGGGTGGAGGGAAAAGCCATTAAAAGTGCGACGGGAGGAATCTTTTCTCACTAAATACTATGATGTGGCGCATCAGTGCCGCTGATAAAAGAATCCAGTCAGATTATTGATGCCTGCTGAAGAAACAGTATAGAGTTGAGCTGTAAGATGACAGGGCTTTGATTTTACTAACAGGTTTTTCATCCTCTGTTGAGTCAGTTCCCTTTTTATGACTTTGTGCATTTAGAACCACCCTGGGTGTTAATTACAGTGTGCACCAGATCATTAATTATTTATTTCCAAGTTGTTGTGTGTTTACAGCAGTTGTCCCCTTAATAATTATCCTCATGAATGTAAAGATGGTTTCTAAGTTAATATTCTTGTTGTTTGCTGAGTAATGTTCTTTATAAAACTGGATTTAATACTTCCGAATCCTGTGACGGCAGACTTGCAACAGGATGGAGCGTTGGGTTTCTGAACCTGAGAGTAGTTAGACCTCTGACCCTTGTATCGGAAGTCAAGTGAAACTAGATAACAGCTTAAGTGTGAAGATGATGCTCACTACTTGGATTAGTGGGTTGGAAGACAAGTTCTCAGTTAAGAGAATCCTTAAGCTAATGGCGATCTGTAAAACGATACAAGTCTTTACCTCAAAACGTCAGCTGCTGTTGCATCACATCCGTCAGCTGTCATCACTTCATATCATCTGATATCACAGTCTCAGATCAGCGCACGTCAGTAATTGTATTGCAAAAACACTTTAAGTCCTTCACTTGTGTCAAAAATCTTGAGAAAGTAACATCAGTGGCAGCTGCCTGAGCTCTTTACTGTAGCGCGGATATAATCTGTCAAAACAGCAGAAAAGATCATCTGTCTTGTCTCTGCTTGGAAATATGGACTGATCCAGTTTTCTGCAGACAAGGGACGTAATTGCTGTCTTTTGGAAATGATAGTCATGCTTACATTTTCCATTCATGCCCTGTGCTGAATGACTGAGACAGCTGTCTGTAAGTCCCGACCAAAGGCACGAGCATATCTATTTCCATATTTTCCTCTTCACCCTTGTGTTGACACATGTCTCAAAGAGTGTCAGTCCATTAGATGTACATTACAGGCCAAATGTTTTCTCCCAGACGAGGGAAAAGCCATGCAATCTTACACTTACGTCATTTTATCTGCTACCAAACTGGCGGTCATTTTCTTTTGACACAA